CGGATAGCATTACAAACAATTGAACCAAGAATTAACAAATTAGTTGAGGATATTCAGCAGAAGAAATCTCATTAAATTATTTTCGAATATTTTTTTGTTTTTTCTATGAATTTTTAAATGTTTCTTATTTTATTTTTTGTTAAAAATTAATGAGTTTTTATGTTTAATTGTGAAGTTTGAATGTTATTTAAATAGATAATGAAATAATAGCTATGTTTTACATTTATTATATAAAAAAATAAAGCAATAATACAAAAATCAATTTATTATAGATAATTTAACAAATATAAATTATTATTAAAAAAATAGAGGTCACAAAAAAATTATGAAATATTTGGTGGGCTGCGAGTATAAAAAGGTTAAGAACCACTGCTGTAGGTATTAAGAGTATGTTTTTAGTCATACCCAACATGGCTTTAGCTAAGCTTACAATAAAAAAGTGACTGAGTGGTAAAGGATGGGATCCCAAATTTTCAGGATATATTATCTATGAAAAATTCCTGAAATTCTCAACTGGACTTGATCCAAAAATCTCCAGAGTTACAGGCTGATGTCTTTACCTCTTTGGTCAATTAGCTCTCAAGTTTTAAGTTAGAAGAAAATAGTAAAATAAATCTTCATCCAACATTTTTCAAATAGTAATTGGATGTATGGAAGAATCTTATTGGGTGACCTGATTATTAAAATGCAGTGAATCTAAAGACTCATTGCATGATGACGAATGAATGATGTAAAGTTCTCTGCAGCAAATAAGAGCTGATCAATTGACTGGATACTTTTGAGATTAAATTTATTTTCTAATTAATTTTTCCAAGTCTATTTTAATATTTATCAGTATTACTTGATAAATAAAACAGAAATGAAGCAATATGATAAAAAAAATTTTGTTGTTTGGTAGCCATTTTGTGTTTTCAATACTTATGATAATTGAGAAGTTTGTTTTCAGTATCCCATTTTTCATCTCACCTACTTTATTATTACATCTATAACAAACTGTTAATAGAAGTAAAACAGAAAAATACAATGTTTTAATATTTAAGATGTTACCTTCTAACCGTGTGAGGTTTGCTGACCCAGAAAGGGAGGATCAGTTAAACTTGCATCAGGATGGTCAAGGGACTTGTATGTGGGTAGTAGTATTGGATATATTGAGGTGAAGCATCTTTACAGTTTAAACCCATTTATTTGAAATGTAAATTGGTGGCTTACAAAGTTTTTCAGAGTGATGCTCCTACTCAGAGGATGATCTTCAATGCTGGATTCTCAAGTTGTTGGCAGCCTGGGAGCTTGTGGGTAAGTCCTGTATATGGAGGACAATGGTTGGTTGGAGGATGGATGATGATAAAGGTGGTGGAGTGAAGACAGCAATGATGTCATTTCAGAGATAAAGATGTCACAAACACAGAAAAAAGGAATAAAATCACCTTGTGAACTTGGGAAATTGAAATCCACCTTTGTCCTTGAAATCCGGAGTATTTAAAGGATTTGTATATGAGTGTTAAAGTCAAAGTTTGAACTCTCCAGCTTGACAGTGATTTATTACTTAACATGTGTCTGAGTCGCACTCAGGACTCGCGTTGTTTATGTTCATGTCGCTTCATGCTGCGTTTGTTTAACACAGTTTCTTTTTTTGTATTAAAGATATACTTTTAGTGTGATTAATGACAGGTCTGGACTCAGTCTGGAACACATCTGCAAACTGGTATCAAGCTTTCAATGTCCACTACCAATGTGCAGATTATGGAAATGTTTTATTTCCATTCTGGCAATTTTCTGTGGGTACATATTAGGACAGTTATCTGCATGAAATTATGATAATAAATTGAGAAATTTCATTAACAAATAAAAATAAAATTACAAATTCTGATAAAATATAATTTAATATAACTTTGATTTAATTATTAGTATTTAATAAAAACTTATTTTGAACTATTATTAGTAATTTTTTAAATGAATATACAGTAGGGCATCGATTAACCGACCTCTGATCAACTGTCACATTGGTTAACCGACCGTTCTAGTCAGCAAATTTCAAATGTCTGCTAGTGATGTGGCGCTACAATATTTGGCTACGTCTTGGCTACTTTAATATTATTTTTGTTAAATTTTTGCATGTTTTAGCTGGCAACACCGGCTCGACCATTGAAGGGAGGCCAGTATTTAAACGAAACTTAATTTTCTAATTATGAGTGGTTGTTGGTTTTGTGAGCAATAAAATAATTTTAAAATAATTTTTAATGATAAAATAGTGACAATTGTTATTAAAAAAAAATTTGTTAGGCTTAACATCGATGAAAATTCAACGCGAAGTTGGTTAATAGCGATATACTAATATACTAATTACATGGGATATACTAATATACTATACTAATAATGTATTTTTTTCATTCTTTTTGGTTATCCGATTTTTTCAGTTATCCGACCAACCTGAGTCCGATAATCGATGCTCTACTGTAGCATCAATTATCCAATAGAAAAATTATTTTAAAAGATTAATCTATAGTTACACTTACAGTTAATCTACAGCTTATGATTTAATCAATACATACAAATGATCAATTCATTATATATATATATAATCAATACAGGAAATGAATAATCAATTCATTTCCTGTAGTTTTTAAAATGAAAGTAAATGTAAATAGAGTATTATATAAGAATAACTAAATATATACCTCCCAAATTTAAAGTTTATCACATTAATTTACAATGATATTAAAATATAAAGTTAAATTTCTAAAAATAACCAGGATTATAACAAAAATATTCAAAAATTTAATTACTTCTAATGTATTATAATAAAGACTAAAAATAACTTCTTAATTCATCAAATAATTGTCATTACTTGAGGAACAAATTCCAATTCCAGTTCACCACTCAAATATTGTCTTTCAAATTCTGCATTTTCTCCAACATATGATGCAATCATTCTTTTAATCTGTAAAATATAAGTTAATTAATTTAAATATTATTAAAATTACCTTCTTCTCAAAATTGATATACACATTTAACTAAACCTTTAACTTCCAGTAACAAAAATTTTTAATGTAAAAAATTTCTGATGAATGTTTTCGACCTTAGCCAAGGTCTGCCTCAGGTCATCAACAATATTTCAAAATTAGAATGCACAGAACAAAGATTTTCCAATATATTTTTTTAAATAATTAGAACAAAAACATAACATTGTAAAACAACAACAAATTAATTGGTGGTAAATATAAAATTAAAGAAGATATATTATTAGGTATACTATTATATACAAAATAATAATAATTATTATTATTAATTTAATTTATGTCTGCAATTCCTGGTTTTCGTAAAAGCATTGCCAAGCATATGAGACACTTTTTCCATCTTTAAAGTTAATACAATTGCCAGTCAGGTCAGCCTTGTATATTTCCAAGGATTCTAAGGACCTGATGTGATTGGTTTGAAATGATTGCTTAAGTAATGTGGCTTAGGGATCACATCAGACCAAGGCAAATCTGACTGGCAATTGTATTAACTTTAAAGACGGAAAAAGTGTCTCATACAATTGGCAATGCTTTTACAAAAAACTGGGAATTGCAGATATAAATTAATAATAATTATTATTATTTTATTTCTTATATATATATATATATCTTGTTTAATTTTATATTTACCACCAATTAATTTGTTGTTGTTGTTTTACAATGTTATGTTTTTGTTCTAATTGTTTAAAAAATATATTGGAAAATTTTTGTTCTGCGCATTCCAATTTTGGAATGATGACCTGAGGCAGATCTTGGTTAAGATCGAAAATAATCATCAGAAATTTTTTACAATAAAAATTTTTGTTACTGGAAGTTAAAGGTTTAGTTAAATGTGTTTTTTAAATATTATTTAAAAAAAATTACATTAATGACAAATAAATATGCTTTATCATCAAAAAATTAAAACAAAATTAAATTACTCAAAACGTTTTTAAGATAAAGTACTAATTTTCATTATTACATTATCAATATAACAGCTGATGTTACTTGATTAAATTTCTATGGGTAAAGATTAATAAGTAATTTATATTTTATTATTTATATAATAAGAATATAAAATATAAGGAAAAGTAAGTTTTATTCTGTAATAATATTCAAAATACACTTTAGAGCAGCTTAAATGTCAAAAAGCAAGAAAGTTTGTACTAGAGAATACATCGGGAATGGATAAGATGTATTTCTTGTTGTAGATTTAGTTAGTCATTTAAAAAATATGAGAAGTAATGCACTGTGCATTTTTTTATTAGATAAAATGTATTATTAAGTTTTCAGTTTTTAATATTTTAAATTTGCAGTACTTAAGCTTTATTTTCAGATATTTGAGATTACTGTATTAATAACAGTTGTAATTAAAATAATAAAAATTATTAAATGATAATTAAATTATTCTTACTAATAATGTACCTTATCATGTCACAACATTAGAGAAAAAATATTCTAAGAATTTTACATGTTACTCATGTAAACATATACATTCAAGATTGACAATATCATATAGGAATCTTGGATTGTAACTATCAATGATAGTTACTAATGAATTCACATCTGGTATATAATATGTAAAACATGTGACATTCATGACTCGTTAGAATATTCATAAGAATTTCTGCCTTTGGTTCATCATTATAACTTAGACTGGAATTAACATGTACATCAATTTATGTTGTGTTAAAAGCATCTAACAATTGATTACAGTATGGAAAATAGTAAGTATAAAAAAAGATATTATGGTATATAAGATGATACTCAAATTGAAACTACAAATATTTGATCACTCTATATACAAATATTGAATAACTTTAACCATAGATTCAAAAAACACATCCAATATTACAGTTGTAAGCAATTGCCACCTCAATTGAAATGTCATAAGCTGTTTTTGCCAATATTTTGCAATGAAATGGCATATAATCACATATTTCTTCTTCTAATCTCTCATATTTGATTTTCAGATAATGTATAAGATCAAAAATATATATTCTTAAATAAATTTCATTTAAAATTTAAATATTTAGCAATTTTCAATTTCAAAAAATCATTAAAAATTAATTTTATATAAAATTAGTATGATTTTTTTTTTGGATTACAAGAAGAATCAGGTTAAAACTAAATAAAATAAAATGTTGAATAATTTTTAAAATATAAAATTGTATTAAAATTTTTAAATATTTATAATGGTCTCTCAAAATTGTATTACATAAAACACATGATAAGAGAATATTATGTAATGCCCTCTTATCAGTATATATGATGATGATAAGATAACATTAAATAATGATATTATATAAACCTTTAATATTTTTGCATTAAATATCTTCTTAAAGATACTGAAATTTTAAATGTTTAAAATTTTAGATACTTTAGTTTTAGTTTATAATCCAGTTTCAGTTTTTCTTATAAATTTATTATCTAAATAAGGGAATATATGGTAAATGTGTTATTTAGGTAATTTCTTAATCAACAAAATGGTGCATGTAACTAGATATTAAAATGTAAAATGTTCTTGTAGCTATTGCAATTTTACTATGACATTAAATTGAATACCTGTTATTAAAATATATACTGTAGAAGCATTAGCAAGCAATTCAAAAATATTTAGGTAATTAAAAGCAATAGTAAACAGGGCCGGATTAACCCACTTTGGGGCCCTAGACATTTTCTTCTTCAGAGTCCTTTTATTAATTTTATTAATTGAAAGTCCTGTCGGCTCTTTCAATTAATAAATTTTGTTACTATTATTTCCATTAAATCGCATACGGACACTGCAGCTGCTTAATAAAAAATAAAAGCAAAATTATTTAATAATATTTCACAGGATTTCACTGGAGTATATATAGTTAATATTATTCTTATCGCTATAAAAAAAATTCTAAATTATTGGGAGTTCCCTTTTACTTTCAATTAGAAGAAACATAAGAATACGAGGGTTTGTTCAAAAAGTTCCCGAACTTTATTTATTACAAAAAAATACTTCACATACTTCACATATTTGTCAGGGTCCCCTTCAAAGTAGTCTCCTCCGCAACGTATACACTTATTTCAACGGTGTTTCCACTTTTTGAAACAGTCCTGGAACGCTTTTTCCGGAATGCTCATAAGCTCCTCCGTCGTTTTTTTTTATCTTTGGAATGGTGGCAAATCTTTTTCCTTTGAGCGTGTTTTTTAGTTTGTTGGAGAACAGGAAAAAGTCTCTTTGTGTCAGGTCAGGTGAGTAGGGGGGAGCACAGCGGTCTTGTTTTTGGCCAAAAACTCACGAATTCTGAGGGACAAATGAGCCGGCGCGTTGTCGTGATGAAAAAAAAACCACTCGCCGCTTCTCCAAAGTTCGGGCCGTTTTCGCCTGATTCTCTCTCTTAGGCGTTTCATAACACCAAGTAGTACTCCGTGTTGACTGTCTGGCCTGTAGATAGGTATTTGTGATGCACAACCCCCTTTGCATCGAAAAAAACAGCCAACATCATCTTAACATTTGAGCGAACTTGTCGAGCTTTTTTGGAGCAGGGGCCAGTTTCACCCACCCATGGGAAGTTTCCGTGAAGGATTTTCGGAGTTTCACACAGAATTTCACAGAACAACGCTGCTCTTTCAAAGAGCTGATTTCCGCGGATCCGATTTTTCGCCGAACCCCACAAACACCCCTTCACATAAACGGCCGTAACTAATCACCAAAACAAGATATCAACAAACGGGTTGAAGGAGGTTACTCGGGAGGTTTCCGCGGACACAACGCCTCCAAGCGAATTAAAAAATAACCAACTGGAGGCGCGCTATTCAAAAAGTTCGGGAACTTTTTGAACAACCCACGTTCATTTTCTTTAGATTTTAGAATTCATTATAACCATATAAAAAGCAATACTGTATATTTTTATTTATTATATACAGTTGTCCAACAGAAAAGTAAACTATCTTATTTACAAATCTTTTCAAAATAGACAGTTTGACCGGGTCCTTCTAAAAACCGGGCCCTAGACATTTGTCTCATATGTCTATGCGATGATCCGGCCTTGATAGTAAACTGATAAAGATATGGACATTGAAAGATAATATTCAAACTCTGCAATAATTTATTATTAAAATATTGCAAATTGGAAAACTAATCTTGTTCTTCCTGTGGCTATTTAATAGTTTGCAATATTTAAGAAATTATTTTTACTGATCATTTCACTGCTTAAGCAATGAAATGATGAATAATTGAATTAATTTTATTTGAACTCTTAGTATTCAAAGATTAATGGTAAATATTTCAAAGAATGTGAAATAAATGTTTATAAACATAAAGCTGAAATGAAATTTTGTATGCAAACATTTTTTCCAGACTTTCATGCTTAAAATTGATAAAGAAATCTTGTCTTGATTTGTTATTGAAGGTAATCTCTGAATTCACAATTTTGAAAACATTGAGAATCTAAAAACAGGCCATATGTAGGTACATTAATTTAAAAAAAAATTANCGCCGAACCCCACAAACACCTCTTCACATAAACGGCAGTAACTAATCACCAAAACAAGATATCAACAAACTGGTTGAAGGATGTTACTCGGGAGGTTTCCGCGGACACAACGCCTCCAACCGAATTAAAAAATAACCAACTGGAGGCGCGCTATTTAAAAAGTTCGGGAACTTTTTGAACAACCCACGTTCATTTTCTTTAGATTTTAGAATTCATTATAACCATATAAAAAGCAATACTGTATATTTTTATTTATTATATACAGTTGTCCAACAGAAAAGTAAACTATCTTATTTACAAATCTTTTCAAAATAGACAGTTTGACCGGGTCCTTCTAAAAACCGGGCCCTAGACATTTGTCTCATATGTCTATGCGATGATCCGGCCTTGATAGTAAACTGATAAAGATATGGACATTGAAAGATAATATTCAAACTCTGCAATAATTTATTATTAAAATATTGCAAATTGGAAAACTAATCTTGTTCTTCCTGTGGCTATTTAATAGTTTGCAATATTTAAGAAATTATTTTTACTGATCATTTCACTGCTTAAGCAATGAAATGATGAATAATTGAATTAATTTTATTTGAACTCTTAGTATTCAAAGATTAATGGTAAATATTTCAAAGAATGTGAAATAAATGTTTATAAACATAAAGCTGAAATGAAATTTTGTATGCAAACATTTTTTCCAGACTTTCATGCTTAAAATTGATAAAGAAATCTTGTCTTGATTTGTTATTGAAGGTAATCTCTGAATTCACAATTTTGAAAACATTGAGAATCTAAAAACAGGCCATATGTAGGTACATTAATTTAAAAAAAAATTAACTATAGAATGAATGCAATAAAAATTATAATTTTAAAAGTAAAAGCAAAATATTCTTAAACTTAAAACAGAAAATTTCTACAGACTGAAACATAGATAATATGTCCAATTTTCTCTAAGTGACAAAAAATGAAACTGAAAAAATATTAATATCTTTTAAAAAAGAATTTATTTTTATGTTTAGAAATTTTTTCATTGTATTAAGTTTTAAAAGTTTAATAAACATTTATGTATAAATTATTTTCATTAAAGTGTTTAAAATCCAGCAAAGTTATCCTTAACTACATTTACAGAAAATTGGTGAATGCAATGTTTGTCTTGATTGTTTTTAAAAGTAATTTAGTTAAATTCTTTATTTCTAAAAATAAAAACAATTAATTACAAATATTTAAAAACAAAAAGATAAATAATTTTTACACTAGAACTTCCATTATTATTTTATACAAATTGAGAAGATAAATGTTTGAAAAAGAAAAATTAAAGTCAGGCTAATTTTGTGATAACTAATAATTTTCTCACTAACAATATCAGGTTATTTACAATCTAAAAAGGAATGAATGCTAAAATAATAGAAATAATAACATTTATTCTTAAAACAGGTTAAATATATATAGTTCAGAGTCAATAGCTCCATATAACAAAACCAAGAGATGAAAAACAATGTAAAACAGATTACTGTTATAAAAACAATGAAATATTTAAATAATCTATAAACTATTGAAGAAATATAATTTATCTAATAACTCAAGTGAATACGGTAGTGCTATTCAAAAGTAAAATACCTCACAATTTTATTATGTAATGATTAAAGCAGTATCCAATCTGATACAAAACAGTTATCTATATCAGTCTAAACTTATATATAAAATAATTAAAAGTAAAATTCATTTAAGACTTACCTGCTTAGATTTTAATAATAAACCCAAACCAAAGTCATCCACTCCAGCATTATTACTAACTATTGTTAGATCTCTAACTCCTATTTCAACTAATCCGTTTATTAAATTTTCAGGAATTCCACAAAGTCCAAATCCTAAATGAATACAGAACAATAAACTGAAATTGAATGATTTTATTAAAATTTTTTTTAATCTTTAAGTTTTTTTATTTAGTTTTTTGTTCAACTTTCAAGATTATATTTCAAGTTTTCTTAAATTTTCATATTAAAGTAAAACAGCAATAAATAAGTATTATAAAAAAAATGATAAAAATCATAATTCATTCTACCCTATTTAGAACTGAAATGTATGTTAGCATTCATATGATCTAAATAAGCAATTCAGATGTAAATCTGATTTCTTTCTTTAGATCAAATAAATTAATAAAGTATAGTCTTCATGACAAAAAACTACAGCTAACTTTTTAGAAATTAATTATAAGACAAATTACAGCAGCACATCATAGAGACAGTATTTGGTATTGTAAATTTATTTCTACTCACTTTTTACATAATATTAATTAATCATTTTTAAATAAATGAAATTAATTTTGCAATAATTAATTTCAATTAATCAACATTAAGTAATGTTATCCAATAATATTTATTTATATCTTTAATATTTACTTAAATATTATTCATTGATTTGTTTAAAAGTCTTAAAAAGGTTCTACATGGTGTAATTATTAGAAAATGAAAATATTTACACTTTAATTCTAACAAAACTTTAGAATTAACTGTAAACATTAAAATTCCCCACAAAATATGCTAAACTAAAAATAAAAACCTAAAAAAAAAAAAAACATTTAAAAAATTTCACAATTAAAATATAAACATGAAAGTGATGAATTATTCAAAATACAATGCAAAACATAGAAAGAATGCATCAAGTACATGAAAAAGTGTTATGACGTCAATTAATGACGTCAAATTGGTGTTACATTGAAGTTTAAAATTGGAATATCCTCCTCATCTCATACTCAAAATACATTAACACTTAGTACAGTTAATATTAAATATAATTAAGTAATTCTCTGCATGTTCTGATTACAAATCAGACGTTGCATAATCAAAATACTGTAGTAATAATAATAATAATAATAATAAAATGCAAACCTCCAACAAGTAATTTTGAGCCATCTTTTACGTCTTTTATTCCTTCATGAATATCTTTGCAGAAGATAACATTGCATCTTTTACTAATAGAAAATCGTCTTGTAGTTTCCTAAAGCGAAAAATTTTGATATAGATTTATTATAAAAGAAAAATATATTGTAAACTTATTTTCCAATTATTTAAATAATAATAATATAATAATTTTCGCCGAGCGAATGACGAAAATCAATGAACACGTGTATCCAGATTGAAATCGACATGTTTATTTATTTACAGAAGTTATCGTTAGAGCATTTAAACAAATATAATATTTAATACATTGTTACCTCGATAAAATATCTGTTAAAAGTCTTCCAAGAGAACGTACGCAATGTAAATACACGCGCCATAGAAAATTTAAGATCAAGGCTACATCACTCGATATTTTCGACATACAATTTTATGAAACGACCAAAGCTCCCCTGGCGATGACGTGATTAAGCTTGTTGTAAATCATTTCGGTCGTTAAAATGTCTGCTCTCATGTCGTAAAATCATTTTTTTTTTCTTTTTTAGGCGATTCTTGGCATATCTAGATGTTATTCTAGCATTGTTCTGAAAAACTAGGAATTAACTCGGATATCTTTAATTAAGATGTCAATCTACCACTCTACAGTGTGAAAACACCTCCGTTGACGACTTTTGCCGTCATTCGTGATAAACATTGCGATTAGTAGAATTATTTTCGTTCCGCTTTCAAAAATTTTTAACCTATTCCGGTTTTATATCAATAAGTTAGAAATTTTGAATATCATCCATTGCATTTTTCGTTTCTCTCGAATGATGCCATTTGCATTTCTGTCGATATTTTCTGTCATCCTCTTTTGCATTTGAGTACAGAAATTTAGTATAAGGTTTCATTCTCTCAGTATGATGATCACCTCTCTTTTATTTATTGCAACACTTATCAAATAACGGTGATATGGTATCTCCTGTATATTATTACTTCGTACATCTACTGATCTTTGTGTTATCGTTTGTGCACGTTTCGTAATCTTAATACAAATATCAGATAAACAGATATAATCAATCAATATGACTGTTTTCTTGACATTTAAATACTGCAGTTATTAGATTGTTAGGTTCTTGCAATTTAGCATTTCCAGTACATGGACTTCTACAGTTTTGAAGTTTTAGTTTTAGAGAAAGCGCGTTATAAGAACTTACACTGTAACACACAGTTTATCCTATAGCGTAGTTAAACATATGGAATATAGTCGAGTTTCATCTTGGATCGTTCTCGAATCCAGCAACGAGTTGTGTAACTTTCCCGACATTTATGCGATTTTATTTAAAAAATAATATTTGTATTATTAATCAAAATAAATAACTAAACTTGTATGTGGCGCCATATGTTAAGAGAATTTGTTATGAAAATTTTATATAGTTTTAATTATTGTAAAATAGAAAAAGACTTAATTTTGAGGGTAGAGACGAGTTTTATAAAACATCGTAAATGCTAACAAGTAAAATCGTCATTAAATCCGATCCTTTGCGAGATATGACACTTGACCACCCTCTTTCTCTCCATTTCCTTGACCTTTCACAACCAGAATTTAATAGCACCAATGCCCCTTACATACAAGCTACCAGAACAAATTTCGTTTCTTTATCTTCACTCCATCCTGAGGTGTTAAGCAAAATAGACGCTAATACACACACACATATCCACGGGACTTTTGACCTGAATACGTCTTTAAATTTGCTTCGTAGTGGGAGGCAATTCAGAAAACTGATGATAACAAAATCGGGGGATACAGTTTGGCATTGCAGCTACATATCTATCATCTACATCCAAAATTTAATTACACCACTCGATAGTTAAAGGATCAAAGAATTCATTACGTTGAGTGGGGACTGTGACGCATCGCGCGCGGCGGAGGGGGAAGCGCCGCCATTTTGAGATCGTTTACTTTCCGTTTAGTATACATTTTGACTCGGGGAAGCTACGACGCTCGTTTCAGTTTCAATTTAAAGCTCTCGTCAATATTTATCGATTGCATACACAAAACATTAGTGTGGAATAGTTATGGTGAATATATATGGTGTTAAAGTTAAAAATTAATAAAACTTAATACAATGTCGGCCTATACTCGTCGAAAAGCCAAATCAAAATATAGAAATCGTATACGGCTTTAGAAAGGGCTTCTCAAGAGCAATCCAGTGATACTCATAAAACACCATATGATAGAGTGAAAGGGTGCTGGGAACGTAAAAAATCATGGAGATCCGAAGGACTTCATACTGTTAAGGAATGATTATGACATACAAATAATACGCTCAAAGAAAATATTACCCGTTAACGTACACGTATTCACGTAAAACACATGGCTGTGTCCCCGACACAGTCACACCCCACTTTTTTTGGGTCCAGGAGGTCTGAAAACGTGGAGATTTGCAAAAAATCGGAGGGTTAAATTTGACACGATTCCACTACTTTCCCTTGTTATGTATATGTTACTGTGAAAGACCGAAATTAGAGAATGTCGATATTCTCCGGTGAATGTCGACACATACAAAATACGTCGGTGAAAGACCGAATATTTGGTTATATTATTATACATTCGAACAATCGCCGGTGTATGTCGACAAGCACAGATAAGCTTTGGTGGAGGTCGAAACGACACTCGAAAAGCCGATGTCAACAGACAGGCGACAGTCTGTCGCCAAATCCTTTGTGGGTAGTCAGAGGTAAGACAAGATCGTACCTCTTTTCCCGGGAACGGTTTGGTGGAAATCGCCCACTTTGTCACTAAATGGTGTTTTTGTTCTTTTGATCCCGTGAGGTGGGGATCTGTTAGTCAGGTCGAGTAACGGAGGATGAGAGGGGTCGGTAAGGCGTCGTCAATATCCGAATAAAAGACACCATTAACAGATCAGTTCGTAATCACGTAATCAGTTCATAATTTGTAAAGAAAAGTTACTTTTCATAGATGAGATTTCTTCTCAAGAAATATCGCTGATAGAAGCAGTTACAGCTAATTCGAAAAGTGGAGGGTAAGACTATACAGTACACGCTGTCATTGCAAAAAGAGGTGTTCCACGAATAAACGCAGTTGTAAAAGCAAGGAACTCTTGTCAATTCAAAGTGCCATAACAGTTTAAGTTATTGCAATAAATATAATTGTACAACGTCAATCATATAATTTACAGTATTTGTAAGTTTATTATTGTATTATTTTCTTTAATGATTTAGAACGTACTGTTCATTTTAGGTTCAACAGTTTTTTTACATGTGTCGTTACTTAAGCTTTCTCCTATTTTGACATATTAAAAAGTTGCATTTTTGTCTTAACGTAATAAAAATATTTTTATTCAACATTCACCATCAGTGCATGCTGAATGTCGACATTTGCCGGTGTAAGTGAGAAATGATGATATTTAGCAAATATTTCGTACATACACGAAACGACTGTGTGAATGCTGACATTCACTGGAGAATGTTGACATTCGCCAGATATCGGTCATTCACAGTAACATATACAGTTTACATAACAGCCGGAAAGTAAAACGACGGTTATCTAATTTCTATTTGGTTTTTGGAATTGAAACATGCGAAACGAAGCAAACTTCAAAGGAAGGAAGAAACAAAACAGTTAGCAGAGAGTGTTTTCGATCCACTGACCTCTATGGAACCATCACGCTCCCGCCGCACCACTCTTCTTCTTGTAGATCGTCTTATCAACATATATTTTAATCCAGACGATTATTATTATATTTGCTCAGTTGTGATGTGATAGATCACGATATTACTTCACTATCATCATGCTCATAAATTTGCCTCGCACAGAAACTTTGGACCAGACGAAAACGGATATGTGACATTGCTAGCGAATTCTATATCTTCTTCCTATGGAGTGTCATACGTTTTACTATTATCGGGCCGCTCGTATTTATATCACCACATTTAACTACAACATTTTTACGGGTGTATTTACGTTTATCGACAGATTACAGTTAATCGCTACGCTACAGAATGACCACCGATTCACTAGAATTCGAACGACAACTGTACAGAAAATTTTCAAATTATCGAGGATGAATCACTGGTAGTTTAAAAATCGTATATTTTTCAACCCGGCGATTGTCACAACGATATGTCGTCAAAAAATCTGTCGATCTATATGTTAAAATTTACCGATTCCAGCTAGTTTTTCGGCCTGGCTGTATAAAACTCATCTCTACCAAGGTTACTAGGTAATATAGTTGGGGAGATGCTGTTGTTATTACCTATCGTTTTCGTTCTGGAAACAATTTCTCCGATGAGGCGACGGTCTTATCGTTCGATAGATGAAGTTGACAAAAGTCGTGTTTCACGTGTGCATTTTTAAGTGTTTTTGTAGTTATTTCAGTTTTCTTTTGTAATATAAGATTGTTGGATTCAGCTTTAGCAAGATACTTTTTTGCAAGATAGAGGAACAAGAGGTTCTCTTCAAACCAGAATACTAAATCGGCAAGGTGTCCCCCTTTATGTTAAATTTGTAATCATCATAATTTCTTACCCATTTCCATCGGTTAAAGATATCACTTTTTCTTTAATGATGATTTTCTCCCTTTTGATTTCTATGCCATCAATAGAGGTTTTCAATATGGAAACTTGGACTTTCCCTCTGTTATATACATAACAGAGCCGGGAAAGTACAAATTATAGACAAATTTGAAATAGAAAAGTTAATTAAATAAACCAGTGTTTTTCAACCTGTGGGTCGCAAAGCCATACACGGGGGTCGCGGGTAAAAGAAAAAGACAAGTGTTTGTAGGTCCTACATTACAATAAAAAAACTACAATTTCAGTGAGAAGGCTGTGCCTGTTTATTTTACAGTACAATTAGTTTTTTGATCAAATCTCAACAGAAAAAAAATTAAATACGTAGTTTTTAAAATCACTGACATAGTTTTAATATGGCCGTGGGGGGTCGCCAGAATTTTTTAACTTGTAAAGGGGTCGCGTACTCAAGAAGGTTGAAAAACACTGAAATAAACGAATCAACTCCGATGGTACATATAAAATGTCTGTACCATCGGATAACAAGAATGGATAACAGGAGAATCTCAAGATTTACAGGTAAAATTTTATATTTAACTCATTGGAAAGTACTAAAGGAGGCGAGGTTTTGTCATTCTATCTGTTTCTTTATAGCAAACACATTACTTCTACAGAAAAAAAATCACTTCAGAAAATAGCTATTTTCTTATTTAACATTAGCTTCAAAATTATTTTAAAATACATTAGATTTATCAAAATTCTGAGTTTTCAAAATTCAGATAGTTTCTTGATATGGATGCATAAAACCATAATTATCAATCTAATTTAATTATATTTAATAACTTTATAATGAATATAAACTTGTAATCAATTTAAATGCCGTTAATTGTTAATTAACAATAGATTTAACATAATAATTTCCGAAACAATTAAAAAAAACAATAAGTTCTACATATGTTTATAGATAATTTAATTTCTTAAGCAAAACAATTATTAAAATGCAAGTTATTTAAAATCTTTTTATCCAGAATAATAACCAATATTATTAAATTCCATCTTCTTTACATATTGTTCTTTTTTTCCATATAAAAAAGCT